GGGGGGAGGGTGGCTACGGCCGCCGCCAATTGCGTAAGGCCGGGAGCCGGGGCGGGAGCCGTGAGGGGAGGCGAGCAGCCGGAGCCGCCCGCCCGCGGTGTCCGGGGCGGGGAGCACCATGCCGCCGCCCTGAGCGCGCCGCCGCGCCGGGCCCAGGTGAGCGAGTGCGTGCGCGGCGCCGGGGCCGAGGCGAAGGGAGCCGCCGCCGGTCGGGACGGGGTCGGCGGGCGCGGGGAGCCGCGGGGAGAAGAGCAGGGCCGGCTGCCGCCCGCCCGCCCCGGCCTCTTTTGTTCCCGGGAGCGGCGGCGCGGAGAGGGGGGAAGGGGAGGGAGCGGCCAGGGCCCGTGCTGGAGGCTGGCGTTAAGCGCACGCTCGGTGCCTCCGGGACAGCAGGTGTGGGCGAAGTGCCTCGCGGTCCGGCGGCAGGTGCTGCCCGGCGCTGCCCTCCGAGCGCTCCTCAGCGGGTTCACCTCGGGCGGCGGGGCGTCCCGCAGAGCGACGATAACAGTGCCGACTGATCGGCGTCCCCGGGCGCCTGGGTTGCTATGGGCTGCCTTTCCTGCTTGTGATAACCCAGACGTGTTTTCTTTGCCCGGAGGCTCGCAAAAAGCAGTGGGAGCTGCTTTTCTCAATCCTTCTGCATGGCATGCGGAGCCAGACGTGCTCCATTCATGCTCGGGGCGCGTGCTGAAGGTGCTGCCCTTGTTTGTTCCTTAAAGGTGGACTGGGGGCACGGATTCTTTAAAACCAGAGGGATTACACATGCCCCTGTAGTTGCAAAGATGAAACTATACCCGAGGCTTCACAAAGATAACGTGAGGAGGAAGATGAGGCAGTTCTAGGATAGCGTTAGTCAGGGTTTGATGCAGCACAGGAGATCTGTAAGAGCACGTCTGTGTGACTGGTGCGGAATGGCCCATGGGCAGCGGTGGGGTGGAGGAGCGGTGAGGACCATCTTTGTTCTTGCAGAGCGTGCAGATCGCAGAGGTGCTTTGTCTGCAGGGATCCTGCGCACCGCCTCTGGCAGTGTGAAATCTGCCGGGTTGGGTGCGTCTGGCTCAGCGTTGCCGGCTCTCGTGGCTCTGTGCCAGCACCCAGCAGAGCGCGTGTCCTGGGCCTGATCTGGGCAAAGCATCATGAAGGGTACGTTTTATATAAACCGCAGGCAATAGCCCCGGTTATGAATGGAATCCAGGAAAGAAAAAAAAAAACTTAGAAGGGAGAAGGAAGAAACAAAACAAACAAACAAACAAACAAAAAAAAACACAGAAGAAGGAAGACTGGCAGTCTTAATTCATCAAGGATCTGCAACAAAGCATCTTTTTAATGTTACCTGTATTGATACTGTTAGGAATGTGGGTATTTTTTTGGTGTTAGACTGTAGGTTTGTTTCAATCACTTTAAGTCCATAATATTTTGTGGGGTTGATGGTGGTTGGAGTTGGTGGGGGGCTAAGCACTGACCACAGCATGGGGAAAACAGCAGTGCTGCTTCTGGCTGGGCCTGTGAGATTCTCTGAAGGCTGTGACTGTCCTGTGTCCTGTCCTGTGACAGGAGCAGGTACCGTTCAGTGTCACATATCACACTTGTTCCTAACTGACAAAGCAGGTCATGGGGCAGGGGAACAAAAAAAGTTGTTTTTCCTGTAAGGCATGGTTGTAAAAATAGGTACAGCACAAAGAGATCTGCTCATCCTGTGGGAGCCAACAAACCATAGGGCTTACGTGCTCTGTAGTATGAAGTTGTGAAAATTCCACGTGAGTTGTACGTGAACGGCTTGTACATGGAAAGGGATTGGGTGTTCCTGCTTTGGTGGCTGATGGTAGGGAGCACTGGGGCAAATGCTTTTCAGTCCAAGTTAAATGCCCAATAGTAGCATTCTGATAATTAAAGAGGTGTATAGATGCCCATGCTGTAGACAATTGAGACTAGAAGTATTCTTCAGTTGCAGAAGAATACAGAAAAGTAACTTACTGATGTGATTTTTAACGCCAAGTATAGCTGTTACCCTGCTTTGCAGTACACTATAGGAAGGTACTCAACAACCATTCTTCACATTGCTGTTGTGCATTTTGCAGTCAGTTCAGCCTTTTGTTGTAGGAGCTTCACTCAAAAAATGGGCTCTGCTCTGCAGCTTCTTTTTCCTCTCAGTGAGGGAAGGAGAATGAGTGCTGGGACTGAAGGGTGATGCCCATCCCACCTGTAAGTGTGAGGAAGTGATGCTTCAGAGCACTGTCTCTGAGCTGCAGCACTGCTTTATTCTCCCCCAGCCACATGAAGCTGGGGCTGGGCAGGGTGCGCCCTCCATCGCTCCGGGCCAGGGGAGCTCATCAGCCTTCATCCCCAAGGGGCTGCTCCCATCACCTTGCCTGCTTCTGTTCAGGATTGAAAAGCTGCTGACAGCAGTTAGTGGGAGGGTTACTATCTGGTGGGTCTCTGTGTGTTCAGAAACTACGCTGGGAGCACAGTCTGAAGCGTATCATCAGAGTTTGTTCTTTGCATTAGCAAGGCAATTTTTTAAAGTCACCCAAAATATACATCAAAACAAGATTAAAATCTGTAACTTATGAAGTACTGTTCTAGTTAGGAATCAAGTCACAATTAGACTTGATCCATTTCAAGCTTCTTTTTAATCAAAAGGATTTCACTGCTGATGTATTGAAAACATTTTTGGCAAGATAAATGGGAATGAGCTGTTTGTAGATGTAGGTTCAGAAATCCACGAAAGTGTTTTCTTGGAGAAAGGAAATGGAGGGGGGGGGAAGGGGGGTGGCAAACCTTGATGAAAGATATGAGTGAGAAAAGTTATATACTTGCCAGTAGGGAAAGGAAATGCTCAAGACGTTAGAGAATGTGTGTTTTATGACTTGTATCTTCTATTGCTGTCAAGTAAATTGACAAAAGGGAGTGTACTGATAGCTCTGCTATCTTTTTTGGCACTGGGCTAAAAAAATGTAGTGCAGTCACGCAGAAAGTCTGGCTTCACCTGGCAGGATGTTGCAAAATTTGGCTGTTGGATGCAAAGTTCTTGGAGTTCCCTGGAAAGGAATTTACCACAGTAATCCAAAATATGAATGTAGCCACCAGCTCAGCAGAACACATTCTTGGTAGTGGATTAAAGTCTTTGTTTTGTTTTTTGAAAACTTGCTTCTCCTTTGATGCATGGAAAAGGCTGGGAGAATGATGGAAAAAGTTTTTCTTAAATTCTCTTGCAAGAGTTTTATGTAAAGTAATTTAAATTACTGTGCACGGTTTGCCGGGCTCTCAGCTTGAGTATTTTTGTGACTCCTGTGCATGCCTTTTATCTATATTGAAAGCTGGCATCCAGACATGCAGTCAGGTTACTTCGCATTATCCTGGCTGCACAAACTCTTTTCAGCATGCAGTTGGAGCACGACTGCTGCTTCCAAAGCCGCATGTGTATTTGTTGTTTGCGCTGCCCTTCTACTGAAAGCCTCCATTCCTGCAGCAAAATGGAATGCTTCCCATGCTTCACCCTCTGCATGACAATCTGGCGCATTAACTTGAACTATCAGGTAGAGGCATATATTTTGTGCTCACGATGTCAGCAGTTACAGTGGCTGATCTGAAAGTTTTTGCTTTTCTAGGGAGAGGTCTCTGATGAGAACAAAGTGGTTAAATAAGGCTTTAAAACATTGTATAAGAGCAGTGCTGTCATGGCAGACTAATGTCCATCCAGACAATTACCTGATGTCTGACAGCAGTGAGTAATAGATGCCACAGCTTGCTATTGGAGAACTTCCTAAGCTCTTTGTGCAGCAGTCTTTGATTGGCTTCACATTTGTGACCCCACTGCTTTTTGAACCCTTATAAATTCTTAAAATCCTAAACTTGCAATTTAGAGTCGGGTTCAGACACCAAACTACCCCCCACCCCCTTTCTTTTTTCCCATTAGAAGAGAGTCATTTGTATTCTCTGCTACTACTGACTGTGTGGACCTCTGTCATATATCCTCTTAGTCATCGTTTTACAGGATGAAGAATCCTTTGGGGGATCAAATAGCCTAGAGGTGCTGATGTCAGAGCTGTTTGCTCAGTGGATGTGATTTGGAGCCCTTAGCTTAATCATCTTTTAATGCAAACTCCTTGGCTTGTGGAAATGCGAGGCTGTTCTGAAAGAATGTGATGTGCAGCTACAGTGCTTCAGCTGTGGGGTGGCAACTTCTCAGCCAGCATTGTTTCCTCTGTAGCTGATGGATGGCTAAAGAAGATAATTCTTCAAGTAAGCAGAACAGGGGATGGGGTATAACATACTGAAATGTGAGTTTGGAAAAAAGAAAAAAATGCGGAGCGCTTTAGCGGAGACAGAAGGCAAAATGAGGAGAAAGAAAGAAAAGCATGTACAGCTATGAAAGAGAGCAGGCTACGCTCCTGAGTAGTGCTACAGATGGGATTTAAATATGAAAGGCCACTGATTATTAAGTGCTTCTGGCAATTCATTCAGGAGTTTCCTGGAGCATGTATGTTTATGTCTACTGACTGAAGCTGAATATGGGGACCAGACCTTTCTCACTCCATTTTATATTTTGTACTGTCCTACCTGTTCATGCGTGTTTATTGGTTCTTCAGGATTTTTCAATCAGAGTGCTTGGCAAGAAGGAATTAGATATCTAATCTGGCCTTCTTCCTCTGGAATGCCAAAAATAAATTTTGTCAGCCATTTAGTGATTAGCTCCTGAGCTGGAATTCTCTCCTCTGAAGTCTATTAGAGATTTATTTTTTTCTGGTGTCCTAAGATGTAGTAGTTTTCAGTGATGTTTATTCTTCCAGAAACTGTGAATATCTGTAAATACACCTCATCATTTACCCAAAAGGTACTTTAGGATACTTTTGCTTTACTTTATTTTTGCTTTTCTTCTGCTACCATCCTCTTCAAGTTCCCTAAGGTGAATGCTGCAGATCAGTTACTTTCACACTGTTCTGTTCATGCTGTTCTGTTCAAGTCAACTCTGTTGACTTGAACACAAGTATTTATTTGCTCAGAAGTAGGCTTGTGCTGGGATGTGTTGCTGAGCTGAGGGAGACAAAAGCGTTCTGTGAACGAAGCCTCACAACGTTCCTGTGAAGCCAAGGACCTTTTTTTTTTTTCCTCATGTTACAGACTCAGGGCTCAAATGAGTGTGACACTCACAGCAA